TAAGCTATCTCTCCAGCCCCTTCTAGGATAAATATTTTTAAAGGGAAATATTTGCATTATTTTCACAGAGACTGTCATTGCTTGATATTAATGCTGTTGACATCCTCGGATCAAACGGGTGTGTGCAGCAGGGAACTGTAACATCCTTCACCCTTGTATCATTTCCTCTCACTGCTCCTGGCTTCTCGAGAGGCCCCTCATCACTTCTCATTTATTCAAACACTCGAGAAAGCTGCCCTGGGTAGTCATGGCTAGGTCCATCAACACACGACAGCGGACACAGCCTATGCCCTCATTTGTCATATGCTATAATTAATTAGCGTCTAGTAACAATATGCCTTATGCAAATGAGTTGCTATCTTCACATTAATTTAGGAATTCAAAGGTCATGTTTGGGCATCCAGGCCTATGTCTTCAGCCAGCTGCAGTGAATACTACAACCCAACATGGCAGAAGGGAGCTTCTCACATCCCTAGTGCTTTAGCCTGCCGTGACTGGCACCAAAGGACAAACTTCGCCAGCTGTTTTGACACCTTTTGTGTCTTCCAAGTGTCCCATAGAGTTAACGTTCCAACCAGCTCACTCAGATAATTGGATTTGCAGTGAACTTTCCGTGACATACGGAGGAGGAGACTCCCAGTCAACAATCAGTCACAACCAGGAAAGCAGAATTTTGTTTAACAGTAGCTGCTGAAATACTGGAAACAGAGCTCTTCGTGCCTGCAGTAACAGTCATCTACATGGAGCCCACAGGACACTGCTCCTGCCATCATCCCTGCAGCTGAGCACAAAGAACTCAGCTGCCATTCTGCTGTTTGCAATTTCAGCAAAGGCAGCAAATCTGCCTGGCTTCTGGGGACCAAACCTCAGAGATACAAAAAAAGGAAGCGGTATACATCTGTGTATCTACTCATTCCTTTTGGGCACTTGCCCTCAGTAGGATCTGTATTTTAAAGGTACACTGTCCACTGATTCTACAGTAAACTGTGAACCTAAGTGAGCTGACTGCTTGTTTCCACAGGTGAGCAAAATCTCTTTGGTGAATATCCTTTTGCAGGGGACTCTGGCTCCCCTGCCTGCCTCGGTCTCCCTGGAAGGAGCTCCCTCTGGCTATAATTCTCTCTATTATTCTGCATGGCCTGAGCATTTCAAACGACCATGAGAACTGTACAGCCCATAGAGATTTCAAAATAAAGCAGAGGGATGGGCAGGACAGACTAGCAGGTGAAGGTGCCTGCTGCCAAGCCTGAGGAGTCAAGTTCAATTCCCAAGACCCATATGGTGAGATGATGTAAGCAACTTCTAATAAGAGGTCCTCTGGTGCCCCTGCCACTCAACAAATAAACAGACAAATAAGCAAACAGGTGTAATTGCAGAAATTTAAAAATGAATCACTATCTTTGCAAATACATTGCACAAAGAAGAACATGAATAAAATGTCACCCCCTTACCCCTCTCTTGGCGTTCATTAATCAATACTTACCTTCTGAGGAGGCAAGAATCAGCTGCCCATTAAAGCCCCCTCACTCTCCTCTGGTGAGAGATGCTCTGTCGCTTTCTGCTGTTTGTGAGACAGGAAATCTGTACTGCGTAGAACTCACAGTGAAGAGAAACAATTCCCCACTAGCTTTCCAGTCAGCTGCCTTTGGCTGCCTACCTAGCCTTGCTTCCTTTGATCCACCCAGGGTGTGTGTGACTCTTCCTTTGGCCTCTATTTTACCCACAGCTCCTGCACCCTGAGAACAGAGGTTCACACACTTCTAGCCAAATGCTTGTTCACAAGAATTAATAAAACAGCTTAGAAAGATTTTTCAGGGTATGAAAATATTAAAAATTATACCCTAGTAATAAACACCGGATGTGAAAATAGTAGCATGCACTGGAACCATGAAACTCTTAGGTATTGTCAATTCCATGTCTTGTGGTACAAACTACAGTTTCCTGTTGTAAACATCGGGAGACCTAAATGTACACTGATTACTAATCTGACACATCAATTTAGGGCCAGTAAGTTGGCTCAGTGGCTAAAGGCACTTGCCACCAAGCAGGACAACCTGAATTCAAGTCCCAGTCTCCAGAGGATGGAAGAGAGAACCAACTCCTACAAGTTGTCCTTGGACCTCTATACAGGCATTGTGGCATGTGTTGTCCTGGACACACACACATAACATTCACAAAAATGTCCAGACGTGTGTGAAGGTGACTTGATGAAGACGGCAGTCCAGTCCTTTCAACAAGTAGTTGAAACAATCAGACACCGAAATGCAAATGAATGAATCTTGGCTCAGGGCTCAGGACTTATATTTACTAAGATAAACTCAAATTCAAAATGCACAGGATAACATACTTGGGACTTCATCTTAGGCAAGGTCATTTTTAGACATACTCTTAAATATACATGAATAACCAAATTCAGCTAGAAAAATTAAGGAAAAAAACCCTTCATTCTATTGAAAATATCTACATTCTGGCAGAAAATGTTTATAAAATAAATCTGACAAAAAGAGTAATCTATAACAACAAAATCCCTCAAAACCCAGGAATAGAAATTATTATTCAATTAAAAATGAGAGAACGCCTGAATAGATATTTTGCAGGAAAAGGTAGGTTGGCGAGACAAGGAAAGATGTGTAGCTTTATTGGTCACTAGGAAAATGCACATTAAAAATCACAATGCAACCACAGCCAGACTCCAGTTAGAATGTGTATGAGCATGTCAAAGGCGTGCTCCCACAGACCAGGTAACTGGACCTTCACACGCTGTTAGGAATACAAAAGAACAGGGCCACTCGAAGCTCCTGATAAAGATAAAACAGATTTGTCGTGAGCCCCACAATCCCGTTCCTAAGATTTTATTGAAAAAAAAAAGTATATTTATGCTCACACAAAACCACATAAATTAATGTTAAGGTGTCTTTATATCCTCAAACTGGAGAACCCCAAAGTCTTTCTGTATAGTGGAAAGAAATATATTTTTAAACAGAAATTAGCATGAATTAAGAACATTCTTAACAATCTTAAGAATATTACACTGAGTTAAAGAAGCCAGGCAGAACCAGCCATTTCCTGTTCCATGTTATCTCTGTGACATCCTGAGAGAGCCAAAATGTAGACACAGACAATAAATCTGTGGTTGGCCAGGAGTGGGAGTAGGGGGAGTGGTGGCTTCAGGAGCGGTGGATGGAACTTTTTCAAGTCTTGATTGCACATTGGTATTAGTCCATATTGAGTGTGTGTGTGTGTGTGTGTGTGCATGTATAAATCTAATGCTAAAAATAAGTCAATTTATAGAAAACAAATTTAGAAGACTTAATGGGAAAAGACAGTAAAATATAATTTTAAAAATAGAAATTATTTTTTTTAAATGCCAGCCAACAGGAATATACACAACACTTAGAGAAAAAAATAGCCCGTGTTACTGAGTGCAATGAACGGTTTTTTCGGAAGGATCTGTTCATGCTGCAGGTGTGCCTTCCAGATGGAGAAGAGGAAATGACACTCTTCCAAGTCAGAGCTTTTGAAGAATCACAAAGACATCATCCATCTACCCCACAGGCTCTTACAAAGGCACAGATATGCGCATGCTTATTTTCTAGCCTATGTAGCCTGGATCCATTCAAATATATGATTTTATGTACATATGTACGTATGTATTTTAGTGTGTGTGTGTACATGTGTGTGCTACACACATGCTACAGTGCATGTGTGGATGTCAGAGAACAGCTTTTGAGATTTGGTTCTCTCCTCCCACTTTGTGAGTTTCAGGAATTGAACTCAGGTAGTTTTGCTTGGTGGTAAGTACATTTAACCTGTTGGGCCAGCCAGCCGGCCAGCCCCCAAGTTTATGATTCAGAATTCTTTCCTCTTTTAAACTGACAGGATTGATTCATTAAACTTAAGAAGACACACAGTATTCTCCTTGTGAATAGCAGAGATGAACACAGATCTGCTTTTTTTTCGTCATATAGCAAGCTCAGAACATTGAGGATCACTGAGCAAAACCAGACATTGAGGATCTCGCAAACCTAAGATTACTTACACTACTCTGGCATGCCTCCGTACCTCTGTGCTCATCATCAAACAGTCATGTTTACCAAACGCAGGACATATAAGGAAGAGCAGTGGACTGAGGTTACCAGCATGGCATCTCCAAGTCCTATGTGGCCTGAAGACTGACAGTGTTCTGTACTGACGCCTGCCCCAGCTCCAACCTCTTTCCAGAGCATTAGCCATAGAACTGCAAGGTTCTTCAGACACAATTGACCTCTCATGTGGAATTTGATTATCTAAAATATAGATTTTATTGGATCTTTACAATTATGAGCCAAAGTTCAATGGTTTCTTATTTGTTCATTTGCGCATGCCACGTTGCTTCACCTGGGCTTCTCCAACTACTCTGTCAAGTGTTTGAGAGGAAAGAATTCTTCATATATACATTTCTGACTCTTTAAAAGACTCATCACACAATAAAGGTTTAAATAAGTCAATGTGCCAACGTATTTACATGGACTTATATATTCTGATTTGAAGATATAACCACTTGACTTTATATATGTAAAAAAAACCCTTAGGTCAAGTTGAACATCCTCAAAGTTGTCTCAGACATTGCCCTGGCAACGCTTGAGATGGCTGACCATCCTGAATCCTTCTACTACCTCATATGTGCTGTCTTTTCACTGCCCTAATCCTTAATTTACATTTTTAAAATGGCCTTTAAAATACTCTGAAATATCCATCTTCCCTTTCTCTCTCCTTTTTTTCTCTCCTCTTCTGTCTTTTCTTCTCTCTTCCTCTTCCTCTCTTTTTCTTAATCTAATGACTGAAGTCCCCTGTTAAGATTTAACTGAGCACCCTCAGGGTACCAGGACCGACCAGCAACAGTGACCACACAGTACATATTTACCGAGTTGTTAACTTCAACTTTCAAATTTGTGCTGCCCAAATGGAGACAAACCAAGGAAAAGAGCAAAAACCAAAGTTACGTTACTCATCTGGCTTACCTGCAAAGAGGTTCTACAAGGTCTCTTTCAAGAAAATCATGGTCTTTTTTGACAGCTGCAATGTTGATGGGAAACTGGGAATCTAAGAGAGAAAGGAGGAGAGAGAGGCTAAGGCCTTTTGCTGCATGTGACTGCCTGGCCAATGAAGACAGGCCACCAAGTTCTGCACAAGTCACCATTCTTAGATCTTAAATCACAATTACTGCTTACTGTTATTGCTGATGGCATTTAAAAATGGCACACAGTGTTAGGTTTAATCACAGAAAATGCTCTTGAGAGTGCAGTGTAAGTGCAAAATATGAAAACAAGCACCTAGACCTTGGGCAGGATTGCATGCCAAGGGCCCTTTATGTCCATCCTTATCTGACATTCCTCGGGAGGACATGAAGAACAGCTTCTACATTCTTCCTGTTCGCCACAGGATAGGTTGCAGACAGATGACTTCATAGAATTCTTAGTTTGGCAAACTTCTTTTCCTTCAAAAAGGACATTTCTAAAAATAGCCCAAGTTTAATAGTCTCAGATCTGTTTTTCTTTTCTTTCCTTTCTTCCTTCCTTTCTTCTTTTGGTAACAAAATTTTCAGTCATCTTGAAGCCCCCAAATGAGAAGAGATTCCAACCCCATTGACTGTTCCCCAAGAGAAGACTCATGCCAACTCATCCAGAATATTGCTTTCATTTTAGGTGTCTCTTTAGGAAAACCCCTTGCTATCACTTGACATAATGGCTAAGGTCAACTTTAATGTCGGTTCACTGTGACTGCCAGGCCTTCCTCTTTTTTATTTCCCATGTCTTCTCAGTTATAATGAAGCTAACGTTTCTAAACCTTCCTCTGAATTGGAAGCAGACACTACTACCCCCATTCTGGGGACACATCTTTTTCTCTTTAGAGCATGGGCTACCCACTAAAAGCTTAAACATACAAGTTTACTGACATATTTACTTGGCCATAGACATTCCAATTTGAAGACATAATCACTTGCCTTTATAAAAAAGAATCCACTCAAGTGGATGAACTCGAAGTATTTCACAGTGACTGAATCCCTTATGGTCACCCGTGAACGGCACCCCACTCCCCTGGCAAGTGACTGTGCACCACAGTGAGAAGCACGGATATGGGAGCCCAGGGTTTTAAGTACACATTACTTCCTTGCTGTGTTGTTCTGGGCAAGTAGCCTTCCCTCAGCTGTAAAGTAAGTATCACCACACGATGGCAACTTTATGGCAGACGTGTGAACATTTACTGACTATTGGTTTTTGAATAATAGGAGTCTCAGAACAAGCTCTGTTCTCATTGTATTTATGTAATATATATGGATTGAACAATCCGACACGTACATGTTTCTGAGCTACAGCACACCTTACATACTTATGGACTGTTCACATTAAATCTCATAGTGGCTATAGCATTATATTTATATGCATAAACGTTTCATCAAGAATCAAAAAAGCTGGAATTATTTTTATTTTTCATCCATCCATGTAAGGACAATGAGCTGCTTGTTTTTCTTTTGTCTTGACACCAACTGAGACGCGCTTGGGAAGAGGAAATCTTAACTGAGAAAGTTCCTCCATGATATTGGCCTGCAGACAAATATGTCGGGTATTATCTTGATTACTGATTCGTGGGAAGGGCTCCACTCACTATGGGTGGTACCACCCCTGCACTAGCAGTCCTTGATTCTATAAGAAAACAGGCTGGGCCAGCCGTGTGGAGCAAGCCAGTAAGCGACATCCCTCCTTGGCCTCTGGATCCACTCCTGCCTCCAGTTTCCTACCCTACCTTCCCTCAGTGATGGAGTGTGCCTGAGAGCTGTAAGCTGAAACAAACCGTTTCCTTCTTATTTGGGTCATGGTGTTTGTCACAATAACGGAAACCCCTAACTAGGACCAAGATCACTTAAAATCCTGAGCTTTCCCTTCCTAATTAGTAAATGGCTGATGGAGAATAGGAGTTGGGAATTGTTTAGATTTAAGCTATAGCAATCATCCTTTGTTTCTCTCTCTGTCTCTCTCTCTCTCTCTCTCTCTCTCTCTCTCTCTCTTTCTCTCTCTCCTTCCTCCCTTCCTTCTTGGTCTAAAAGGTTATGTATGACCCTCTGAAAACTTCTGTCAGAGAGTCTAAGCTTCAAACTGTATGCCAACATTAACCCTCTTTGGTCTTTACAGAATATAAATGAACAGAGTAGAAAAAACCTAAACTTTTGGTTTTTAATATAAACTCGAGACTTTTGGTGAAAGGACAGGAGTGATTTTTATGTAAAGATTAATCTTGTTGTCTCTTTCCTGCACACACACAACACAATGTTCGCGGCACTAGGAAGAGAGGTTGCTATGCTTTCATGTGCTGGGTACCGCCATTCGAGCCGCCAGTCCCACTCTACCATCTTGCATTCTGCCTTATGTTTGGAGACCCACTGTGAAGGAGGATGGCATCCAAAGAGACTCATGCCCTCTGGCTCCTTTTGTGTTTGGTCAATGGGAAGTTATGGCTGAACATGCAAGGAGGCATCATTGGTTCTCCCCATGGCCAGCTGTGTGCTTCCTCCAGGGCTGTGTGCAAGGCTCTTATTTCCTGGGCTCTGACATCCTCGTCTTTGGGCCTGTGGTAGTGACAGCTATAATAACCATACACTCTTGGCTCCTCCCTTGTGTACATCTTATCCACAACTTTGTAATAAATAATATTAGCTTTAATTTCCCATAGATGATCTCAGGTGTGCCACTTGCTCACTCCTGGGACCTGACTGCTTCATCATAACCTTTTAGACCAAGAAAGAAGGAAGGAAGGAAGAAAGGAAGGATAAAAGAAAGAGAAAGAGAGAAAGAGAGGGAGAAAGAGAGAGGGGGTATAAAGATGATCTGCAAAGTAGCAAAGATTTAATCATGATTTTAGACAACGTAAGATATAGTTAGATTAATATGGTAGTTCAATGAGAATGGCTCCCACAGGCTCAGTATGTTTGAGTGCCTGGTCCCTAGTTGGTAGAACAGTTTTGGGAAGGATTAGGAGGTGTGGTCTTATTGGGAGAGGGGTGTCAGTGGGAAAGGGCTTTGAGATTTCAAAAGCTCGTGCAATTCCTAGTATTTCCCCCCTTTCTGCCTCTTGTTTATGAATCAGATATAAGCTTTCAGCTACTGATCCAGCACTATGCCTGCCTGCTGTTGTGTTTCCAGTCATGAAGGTCATGGACTCTCAAAAACTGTAAGTCCCAAACCAAACTTTTTTTTCCCTGTAAGTTGCCTTGGTCATGGTATTTTATTACAGCAATAGAAAAGTAATTAAGATAGTGAATAGTAGCCGGGCAGTGGTGGCGCACACCTTTAATCCCAGCACTTGGGAGGCAGAGACAGGCGGATTTCTGAGTTTGAGGCCAGCCTGGTCTACAAAGTGAGTTCCAGGACAGCCAGAACTACACAGAGAAACCCTGTCTCAAAGGGAAAAAAAAAGATAGTGAATAGTTATTTGCTATTAACTAAAAAATCAAGGACCAGAAGTATAATGTTGGCAAAAAACAAAGCCACTTATCCAAAACTCCACTTATCCAAGACTGTCACCTGACCCATAACATTTTTTATGTAAAATAGACATAAACAGGGGCTATCCCAAAACAACTAGTTTTGAGACTTGTAGGAAATTTATTAACAATGAATTCATTGTAATCTCAAGAAAACAGCACAGTGATAAAACAAGAAAGAACATGCAAGAGGGGGCTGGAGAGATGGCTCAGTGGTTAAGAGCACTGACTGCTCTTCCAGAGGTCCTGAGTTCAAATCCCAGCAACCACATGGTGGCTCACAGCCACCCATAATGAGATTCAATGCCCTCTTCTGGTCTGTCTGAAGACAGCTACAGTGTACTCATAAATAAAATAAATAAATCTTTTAAAAAAAAAAAAAAAAGAACATGCAAGAGGTTCTAGAAAGTAAGTCTTGGCAGACCCTGGGACGAAATTGAAGAGCTGGGCAGGAATCTGCAGTAGCGGGAAACAGAAAGTGAAGGGGCAATGCTAGGGGCAAGGGACCTGACTCATTTCCAATTGTGTCAGAATAAGCTTAGTATTGCCAAGGCTGAGGGGGAAGGACGCAAATCCACAATGCATCAGAGCGAAAGCCCAGTAAGCACAAGGCAGGGTCTTCCTCTTGGTAAAGAACGGAGGGAAAGGCTCACATACCTTCATACAGCTGAGCGTACTGCGGGAACCCAGCAGCTCGGAGCCAATCACATGCTTCCTTCGCCTCGATTTCTAAAACATACAAGAAAAAGAACATCGTGAGTCTGACAACCAGACCTTAGTTCTGCTGGTGTGCTCCGTGCAAGTCACTACAAGGCAACGCTGCTCCCAGATAGTCTTGTGTAAGTCAGTCTACCCAGAAGGGAGGATGCAGAGAACGTGCAGGCCACTCGAAGCACCGTTCTGTGTGTGCTAGGGTTATCTTCTCTGTAAAGCCATGGTTCATGGATGATAACCAACCTCCCAGGACAGAGCACAAAGGCCGAGTGTCCCATAGGGAAAAATACCGTCTTTATGCAGTAAGGAACTCAGTGATGAGGAGGAGAAGAAAGGCTTATTATAATAACTATAATCCTCTTTTTAATGGGCCCTTTAAAACTTTCCAAGATAAGCCTGAGATTATTTATTCAACCTTACTTTATTCTTCCATTCAGGATTAAAAAACACAACAGGGTAGTCTATTTTCTCACAAACGAAGGCATTACAAAAATCCAGTCTCACCGATGGTTTTAATTCCCAGCACATTGCATGAAGATGCTCATTGGCCAAGCATATTGGAATGATTTCAAACTCAGAGTTCAGAGGGAAGGGGATCCTGAGACCTGAGTCTCAGAGAGCTGCCAGAATGGAGAGGGCCACACCCAAGAGGCTGGTGGATCCTTTGGGTGAGCATTTGTGGGGTGGATACACCAGCAACCCACCCTCTCACCTCCCTGAGGGAATTTGTGGGTGAGATGGGTGGAGGGATAGTGTGTAAACCAGGCCATTCTCTGACCTTGCGAATTCTGGATAATTTCTCAGCCACCACACTCTTAGATAAACATCAGCCTAGGGAAAAGAAGTTCATCTGTCAAAAGTTCAGTTTCTCCAAATAGAAGTAAAAAGCCTAGGGAAACGTCCCAACCAAAGCTCTCCTAGGCCACTAGGGTGCTTGGTCAACGAGTTTACGTTTGTTTTCCTCTGCAGTCAAAACTTCTAGTAGAACCAGGCAGTGGTGGCGCACGCCTTTAATCCCAGCACTTGGGAGGCAGAGGCAGGCGGATTTCTGAGTTCGACGCCAGCGTGGTCTACAGAGTGAGTTCCAGGACAGCCAGGGCTACACAGAGAAACCCTGTCTCGAAGAAAACCAAAAAAAAAAAAAAAAAAAAAATCAGTTATATGAGTGGGTAAGGAATCAAAGAGTCCTGAATTGTCTAGTGAATCACATCAATTCTATGCATTTTTTTTTTCTGATTTACTTTTGTTTGTACTGTGATTAAAACATAGCTTTAAGCAAGAAAGTCCCAGAGAACCAGGGAATGAGGACACAGGGAGAACTCCAAGTCACATGCTTTACAGCATAAGGAAATTTGGAGGGGAATGGGAATTCAGGGAAATACAGGAGATTAAACCCCTGAACTAAAGGATGGCAAGATGTGAGGAAACTAAAGAGCCAGGGATCTGGCTAGAAAATCTGCTGGGACTGAGAACTATGGCCAGGCAGAGGGATGGGCAGAGGTGAGGCAGAGTGATTGAATCTATCAAGAGACAACGGTCATGTAATGATAAAGGATTCAGTCCATCCAGCCAAGGGATATAACAGCCAAGTATGTGCACTCAGTGTTGGCAGCTTGGCAGTACATAAAGTTTCCCCAAACCACTTCGTCTCCCCCAGTAGGAATGCTGATAATGGAATGAAATATCATCATCCACAAATGCACACAATCAAACCTTCACTGGAACCTGTCTACGTCATCATTCAAACAGACTATGCTTTTAAACCTCTTACGATGAGGTTTTAGGTTTCACACTCAAATCAGAAATTGCAAGGAGTAAATAACAGCAAATTAGAAAAGTGCCACTCACCAAGCCACAGTGAGAGGCTCTTTTGGACTGTCTCTATTCACATGCAACTGCCTTTCTATTTGCCTAAATGTCTACCAAACACACCCTCCCTTTGCATTCTCCAGTAAGATCCAGTAAGACATTTTCCTATTGGAGGACTAGTTTGGTTTTAAGGACACATAGGATTTAAAATGAAGGAATAGAAAGCAATACTATGCATTATGGTTGCACAGGGAACCTGCCTTAAGTGCTCATGAACTCTTGGTCCCCATGTGGTGGCGGTGTTTTGGAAGGTGGTAGAACCTTAGGAGGTGGGACTTAGCTGCGGGTTGCGGGGTGGTTATAACTAGGGTTATAGGTCAGCCTCATTTCCACTGACCTCTGTGCTCTTCAGACTGTCCAGATATGAGCAGGCCTTTCCCTACCATGCCAAACTGGATCCCCTGAAACTGTGAGGCAAAGCAGATCCTTTCTAAAATTTATTCTTTCAGGAATTTTGTCACTATTATGAGATAAGTTACTAATATGTTAGACAAGTGGAAACTGGAAGAGCAGGGAGAGTTAGAATCTATCAAGAGACAACGGTCATGTAATGATAAAGGAGTCAGTTCATCCAGCCAAGGGATATAACAGCTATGTATATGCACTCAGTGTTGGCAGCTTGGCAGGCAAAGCAAATACGAAGAGAGCAGAGGGGAGTGATGGCGGCCGGCCTACAGTCTTGACATCTCAATTGAAGAGCAAAACAAACTCACCAACCAGCAACAAAGCAATCCTGTGTAATTCCCACCATGAAATTTCACTTTGTCCGTTGAGCTGAGTTGCAGAGGGGCCTTACAACGGCTTACCCACAGTCCTTTCTAACACCCATCAGACAAACGCTGTTTCCCCAGGGCCTTTGCAGTGGTCAAAACACAGGGAAATTAGAAGGGAGTCATATTGCCAGTGTCATTTCACGAGGCTCTATCTAATGGGATTTAAATGACACTTGATGAGAAAAGCCACGGACGTTTATTCTTGAATGTGCTCTCAGTAGCCATCAGTGTATTATGCAAAAGCATTTAGCCCCATTAAAATCACATTTGACTATTCTGTTTGTTCCCATTTGCAACCCTCACCTGTCCTTGTAGCGGCTTCAGGAATGCATCAAGTCATTGATGCTCTCTTGCTGAAGAAAACACAAGCTGTGTTGGGGTGGGGGTGGAACCCAAGAATGCCACTGGACAAAAGGGCCCAGACCTCGACCAACATTGGACTAGAGATGTCTTCTTTTACAATCAGGGATGTGACCCAAGAGTCCCAGTGGATGCTGAAACCCAGGTTGTAGTCTAACCCCAGTATATGTCAGGACTTTTGATTCCATAACCAAGATGGCTTCTAAGGGACTATCAGACAGGTAACACATATGGTGTCCATGTGGGACAGAAAGGTGATTCCCACCCCCAGGGTGATACAGTGGGACCTGTGGGGGGACTATGTGCTCCCAGAACTCAAGAATTATTTCTGTTATTTTTGATGTTGTTCAACGGTTTATGAAGTAGACCTCAAGTACCCGAAGTTATGGAAAGAGAAATCGAAAGGATTCTTTGCTGGGGAGAATGAGATCCATTTGGCTAGGTAGCACAACAGGACTTTTACAGAATTAAGTAAGGAGTGTGTGTGTGTGTGTGTGTGTGAATATGAGTGTGCACATGTTCAAGTGTGCATGTGTGTGCAGATGCCCACACACAAGTGTGAGAATGTGGAGGTCTAAGGTTGATCTTTATTATTGTCTGCCTTGTTACTTGAGACAATGTCTGTCTCTCTCACTGAATCAAGAACTACCTGGTCAGCCAGCCCTGGGGAACTCTCCAGCTCCACTGTCTCTGCCAGTATGCACCCCTGAGACTGGTATGTCCTGGGATCAAACTTGCATGGTGAGTACTCCAGCAATGGAGCCTCTTCCCAGCTCCTCCTGTATCAGTTTTGTAAGTAGTCCAGGTAATAATGTCATTTGGCTCTACAGCAGTTTCCTAATTTTGTGCAATGTTCTTTTGGTGGCTGCCCAAAACCCTATGCATACATGAGCCCAATAGATGCTAAGTGTCTCCATCAGGTAACAGAGCCGGCTCCCAAGTGAATAAAAGACATGCATAGCCTGGGTACTAGGGACAGAGAATGAGTCAACACTGTCCAGTAGCAGAACCTCTTTATGTGAGGAACCTCTTCTGGTTGGTTTAAGGGAGGCTGACCACCCTGACTCCCAAACCACACACTACCCGTGTTCCTGGAAAGCCTCTTTCTTCCACACTGCAGACTGAGGAACCCTATGGTTTCACGTGAACTGCATTTGGGGGCTGAAAGCAACCTGCTTTTCAGCTTTTCATTTACTCACTGGTCAGTACAAAAAGCAAGCAGGCTTCTGATTGGCTTATGCAACAAGTTCAGCGGCATCTGTCTGGGGCTGGGTACTCTCCTATGTGACCTGTCTGTGATTCCACTTGACAGAAAGTCACGGGCTTTGGCTCATTCGCCTTATCCTCACCTGGGTACCAGTTTTGCTGTGCTCAGTGTGACTCCTGAACCTCTTGCTTAGAGTAAGACAGAGAATCTGTTCAGTGACAGACCTGGTGGGGGGGTATGGGGATCTATTGGAGGGGGACGATCTCAACAGTGCTAGAAAGCTGTATGCTCCTGTGTGTATGAGAATAAAGGCACCATAGAAACAAACGTCTGACTAGTGATATGCTTTTACAAAATAGTATTATATTTTTTAAAAAAAATAATTGTACATATTCAGTTTTAAAAACATTTATCGAAGAAAACATGAAAGGTACAATCAGAGAAGAATTAACTCTTGTCCCATTACCAACACATAATTTATAATGCATGTTATCTGCCTGAGTGGTGACATCATAATATCTTAGCTTGACTGCTGCTCACAAACATAATTATACACTCTGAGGACCTTCCCATATAATGATGTTACTTATAAAAACATGAAACTTCCTTGGTTGAGAATGATTTCTTAAATATGTGATATTGGAATACCACCAAGTTGCATTTTGCTTTGGGTTATAACTACCAACATAGCCGAGATAAAACACTTCAGTCAGTCCTTCCTAGAGCCAACTGAAGGTGGAAAAGGCTGAACATCCATGGAGGTAGAGGAGATTTACACTATGTTGCTTAAATGAGATAGTACTTAG